TTCAAAAGGGGATGAAAACAAAATTTATTTAAAGAATTACAAAAATGGTCGTCAGTTTCATGTTATTCCTCCTGATTACTCAATTCAGTCAGTCAGTCAGTCACAACATAGGACCAGGCACATATATTCATCGGTCCAAGTTGTCATACCTTGTAAGCATGATAAAATGAACACCGAATTCATAGAAGTCGTTAATTTAATGATGATAATATATAAAAGAAAGATTGTATACAAGGATATAGTACAGGAAGGAAGACAGATATGAAGCAATTTTAATCTCCATTAAACTTATCTAAACATTGAATGTTCCGTTTTTTGTATCAACCATTAATACAGTTAAAACATATTTAATACTCTATTGTGAATTAGCACGATATATTGATATGAACCATTGTATGAGTTTATATAACCTATGTATGTGCAATCATGACTTTATTGATTATAGTGTACACATTCATATATAACTAACTTTGAATTCACTTGGTTTTGTTTGTTTGAATCTTCCCATTGATGTTTAGGACTGCAACTGGTCAGTCTCTTATTGGCATATGTGCATGCTGTGCGTACAGCCTCGATATTGCCTTAAGATACAAACTTTATAAGCAAAGATAAATGATGGCTGGCAGTGGAATCAAGGACACGAGTTTCGTCCTGTTTGGGAATCTTCAGTTGGATTCACCTTAATGTCAGAGTTGATGTTCACTTTGGGACTCGAACCCAGTACCTTTCGCTTCAAACGCCATCACGTTACCCACTCAGCTGTCGAGTCCCAAATAGGACGAATCGCCTGTCCTGTATTCCATTGCTAGCCACTATCCATCTTTGCTTATAACTAACTTTGATTGTTTATTCATGCATATTTCCTACATGTATGTGAATGTTTATATTCGTTTGTCTACATTATTCTTTGTCTTTTTTTATACATAAGACGATTCATACTTAAATAATGTGAGTAAAGTGGAAATGCCTCTATTTTCCATATCGATCTTTGTCTGCTTAAGTGAATGGATCAGATAAACGTTCTCGAATCTCTTTTTTATTCGAGTTTTTTTTATTCTGTTAGCATTAACAAGAATTAGTAAAAGAGCATATAGAAAATTTCATTAGGAACTATACTTCATCATCGTCTTATCTAAAGTTATATGGGTTTTATATAAACTGATCAGATGAAATTCCGAAAAATTCCGTTCAACAAAACGAATTGTACCAAATCAAATATTTAAAAACTTAGCTACTTATTAATATTTGGAGTGAAAGTAATATATTTACAGAATTTACAACTGTATTATTCTTATCAGGAGTTTTTATTATATAATTCATTTATGAGTTAGATATTTACATATTCGACTGTGAATCACACTTTATCAGAATTAATAATACTTTCCGGTTGTCTAAACCAAAGTAAATAGACAACATTTGACACCAATCTAGTAGTCGAATGTTTTAGTTAATATCAGTTCTCTTATGCTTCCATTTTTGTGGAGTAACTCTGATCGTTGGGACAGTTTGTTTTATTCCATTTATACTGTAAATATATTCCGTCCACCATTGTCTTCAGTGAGTTGATATCTCACAACAGTCTCGCGCGCGAGACTGATAGATCCTGAGTTCGAATCTCGCGAGGAGGGATCGTTGATGGGCAGTGCTGAGGAGTCCCACAATAGGATGAAACGGCCGTCGGGTGATTCCACATTTTATTTTAAACAGTTAAGTAATATTTATCATTTAACGAAAGAAATCCATTGTATCATTAATAAAGGATTTAAGACAACTCAACAAATGGATGTATTCTTTGCGACTATGTCTGTGATCCCACATCACATGTGCTCTACAACGACAGTCTCAGAGAGTCTATAAACCTGTCCTGAAAAGGGTTGACCAAACTGTTTCCTCACTATCATAAATAGTATCAAACCTTGAAATAATTCACTAGGAATAAGAAATTCTTGTCAAGTTCAAGTCATTCACTTACACTGATCATATTTTAACGGTTTAATTTTGGTGGTTATAATAGTTCTACCATTATTCTACTGGTGCCGAGATAATCTAATTTAATTATTTAAAGGAATAAAACTGTAGTCAAGTTTCTGTAAATGGATCTTTCCAAATAAATAACATCACTAAATGTTACATACTACTTTTTTTTCATTGTCATATACTCTACTTATATCCGTTTGTAAATAGTCATTGTATATTACACATCTATTTATTTATTCATGTTTTTTTATTTTGATTCTTTGGTTGTTTTATGATTGCATAAATTATACAGTTTCTATGCATTATACATAAATTATATGAGTTGATTTAACAGAACACTTATTATATAAATTCTGTTTGATTCTTTATATTTCTATGTATATCTATTTAGGTAGTTAAATTTATTCAAGAAAATAGGTTGATATTGTTGTACAATACATCATTGTTCAAATTCCAATAACTATTAATATGCACAGTTCAATGTCCATTGAATATCTAAACTAGTTTTAACTATATATATGTATATAGTTTTACATAGAAAACAAAGTTAGATAAAAAAAATGTAAAAAAAAAAACAAAAATGCACTTACCCTTGACCCAGGTTTTGTGCTACTTGGCACTCATCAGCCAGATGTGCTTGTAATCTTGAGGGAACTGGTTCTCCCTGACGGATTCAATCCCGTGTCACTCAGATTTATGGTCAGAGACGTTACCACTGAGATATCCGGGCCTCGACCGACCTCCTGTAGGACTGAAATGTAATCACAATTGATTGATCAGTGGATGGTGATCAATGTCATTTGTGCCAAGTCCTTCTTAGTGCAGATCAAATGCTATCGATCAACCACTATCTTATCCCAACATAGTGCACACAGTGTCGAGCCACCTAGACTAGTGGCCACATTGCAACTTGATCGATAGCATTCGATCTGCATTAAAAAGGACTTGACACACATAGCATTGATCACCACCCACTGATCTATTGAGATTAAATACTAACCTCATGATCACCCATTGCTAATTAATTAATCTTTTATTTTATTTGGTTGAAATTTTTATATTGACTCATATAAACAGTGAAAGTCTTGAATAATATTGAGATTATGAAATTTTATTTCTGGCATAAAATGAAAAAAAAAACGTATTTTTGTCTTGCAAAACAGTAATATAATCATATGATAGTCTATATTACCACCTTTGATAAGCATTTATATATCACATGGGTAACTGTTATTACTTCTAAAGATACATGTTTTATACACCTGTAAATCTTAGCATATACTTGTTAGAGAGATTATTCAAAAGGAAATCTATGAATGTTTAACAGGAAATCAAACACAGGATATTTAGTCTTGCTCGTGAATAATTAACCTCTAAGCTACTAAACCGAAATTCAATGATGGACATATATAACTTTATTCAATTCAAGATTTTGCTGAACCATCTTCAATTGTCTTCGGTTGGTACTTATCTCATAATCTATATAATTGGTCACCATTGTTTTTTTCCGGAACAAGGCTGGTTTATATTCAGGAAAAACAAACTAGATACTAATTCTCTACAAACTTGTACTAATCACTTTAGGAGTGGACACTAAAATAAGTGGAAGAACTTTGTAATCATATCAAAAACTATTTATAATTATAATAAATATAATTTTCTGATGTCTCAATAAGTAGAAAAATTGTACTTCGAACGTTGCGTTACTTAATTTAGGTCACTTCTTCGGAGTAAATAACTGAGCGAATTAAATTAACACAAGGTTAAATAGTACAAAGGAAACAGTATAAAGTATTTTTACATACTTACTTACTTATGCCTTTTACCCCTCGCGGAGAAGCATAGGCCGCCCACCAGTATCCTCCATCCAACCGTGTCCTGGGCAATTTTTTCCAGTTCTTTCCAGTTGTTATTCATCCTTTTCATATCTGCTTTTATTTCCCGGCGTGATGTGTTCTTCGGCCTTCCTCTTTTCCGCTTCCCTTCTGGATTCCAAGTAAGGGATTGCCTTGTAATGCACATTGGTGATTTCCTTAATGTATATCCTATCCACTGCCAACATCTCTTCCTAATTTCCTCTTCATCTGGAAGCTGATTTGTCCTCTCCCATAAAACACTGTTGCTGATAGTATCCGGCCAATGAATGTTGAGTATTTTGCGTAGACAATTGTTTATAAATACTTGTACCTTCTTGACGATGGATGTAGTAGATAAAGTATTTTTAGTACAATCAAAATCATAATAGGTCTGAATATGTCAATATCACATAAAAATTAATACAGTAACAGTCCATGCAAATTCATCTTCATCAAAAATTATTTGACATTAACATATTCAGACCTATTATGATTTTGATTGTACTAAAAATGTTTTACATTGTTTTCTTTGTACTATTTAGCCTTGTGTTAATTTAATTCGATTATTTAGTTAGTCTGAAGAAGTGGCTTACATTAAGTCACGAAACGTCAGAAGCACAATTTTTCTACTTATTGAGATACAACAAAAATATATTCGTTATTAACTCTTTACCCAATGCTCAATTTATTTGAAACTATCGAGTCCAACCTTAGTATTGATACCTAATTATCATCATATATATAATTTGTTTATTTTGAAAGATATAGTAACATAACTGATACTATATTCAATCTAGTAAAACTTATAGGGTAGAAAAAAATATTCCGGTGAAGTTTAACTACAACAACCAACATGAGTGAATAATGATATGACTTTGATTTACTTTCTAAAACCTTTAGTCAATCAAGAAATAAGCTATATGAATGGTTAATTTATGATACAAAAAGAATTAAATTACAAATCAGTGTTGTTTCTCCAAGACGACTGTTTGTCTTTTTTTCTTTAAAGTTAATAAAGAAATTGATCTATACAACTTTAAAACAACGTCGCTTGGTAGTCTTTACTTATGTATCGATTCTTTTACGGATTTCTTAGAAAATCTTTGTTTTCTTTCTTCAAAATACAATAACTGTCTATTTAATATTCCAGTTTTTCATTTCATTTAGATTTTTGGATTCCACCTGAAATGAAAGAAGCAACTTTAAAACATTCAAATTTAAAACAATCAAATATGATCTCTATTAAATATAGTTTAAATGAAATCGTTGAAACAACATCATTAGTTGATATAACTACACATGTGATTGGTAAAATGGATTTAGATGAAATTCAGAAAAATTCACTGTCACGATTGAAATCTTCTCATGGTAAACAATCAATGAATGGTATTTCACATAATGAAAATGAAATCAATGATTCTAGAAATCATAATCATTCATCAAGATTAGAAGAACATCTTTTAAGATCAAATCGTCGTCTAATTAAACCTGAATTTGAAGCAGAACAATTACAAGAGAATATTTTAGAAGCACGTTTAACTGGTACAATTGGTCAAGTAGTACCAGTTAATATTAAAAATGAGTTAGTGAATCTTAATTCAACTGTTGATATGAATGAACATGATAAACACTTGATCGAAACTAATAGTCAAGCAAAAACTTCCACAGAATCACCTAAAGTAAATATCAACGAATTAAGTTCATCATTAGATCTTAACTATACTTCACTGTCTATATCTAAAACACTTAATAATATTCAGTCAAATGAAAACTCCATCATAACAACTACAACTAACCTTTCTTATGATAATCTTCCAGTATTACAATATTCAAAATCATTAATTTCTTCTACTGTTTCAAATATTTCATCTCATCCTACACCTATAGTGTCAGATTTAAAAACACCTTCTATTCCAATTGTAGAAACAATAGATGATAAATTAAAACAAAGTTTAAATTATGAAGATATACCTATGATAGATGAAGATGTAACATCTGAAATAAAACAAACGACAATAGAACCAAAATCAATATCAATTAAGAAAGATGATAATACAATATTGACAATAACTACAGCTTCGTCAACAACACCATCAACAATTCCAATAACAACAATTTTATCAACACCATTAGTGGTTACATCATCAACATCTGGTAAATCAAATAATGAAATTCGTACAAAAATGCATAAAATAACTCGTGAAGAAACTATTTCATCACAGACAGAAACAATTACAACTACAACAAATAGCATAAATCGAATTATTGCTAAGAATCCAACAGTTACTATTGATACTAAAGTTAAACGGTCAAAATGTACTGATCATGATGGTGTAAATGATTTAACACAACAAAAACAAAATAAAACCAACAATATATCATCACAATCATCTACAATTCCAATACAATCTGAAGGAAATGAAAGACAAAAAATTCGATGTAGTTCAACATCACCATCAAAAAAACCAATACGTATCATACCAATAAGTCGTACAAAATCAGTTGAACCCAAATTGAAAGAATCTGTTGATGTTAATAAGCCTACTGATGGTTACATTAAAACAATCAATATTTCTACCACGCCAAAAGAATTAAATCAAACTAGTACAACACCTAGATCGAATTCAAGTAGGTTATATTTTATTTAAAAATGAAAATTTTATTGTTTTGTTTTTGATTGCTTTTATCTATACATATTTATTTTAGAATATCTTTAGTAATAAGAGTAGATTATTTACAACGTTTTTAGTGTCTAATATATGTGTTGTATCTTAACATTTTGGTTACTTGTCCGTTTATTTGGTAAGTATTTTTCTACATTTGGGAAGTATATTTTTCGTTAATGATTTCATCTTAAACATCTGAAGTTATCGGTAAATGCCAGCTATGAGCAAAATCAGAGTTAAGCAGCCCGAAATCGTGGTTAAATAACAAAGTCTTCAGTGTAAATTACACTATAAAGTACAATTAACATTAGCTACACAAACGTAAAAATAGACCCATGTAATGGACACAACATACTTATTAATCATTGCGAACTTGCACTTCTCCTACATTCAAGTTTTTTTTTACTTTTAATTTTGTCAAGCGCTTCAATTAACCTATTTAACAAACAGTGTTGTCGGAACAGTAACCATTTGTCTACGTCTTTGTACTGATATTATGGTTGCCATGTCTCCTGTAAAATGCATGCTTGATCATATGTGACAACGTAGGTATATATCGCTCTTATTAGCTTAAATCATCCTCTGAATCATTCGCTTTCCCATACATATATATTTGCTCACTCGCATTATTATTTCTGTTCGAATTCTCTAGTTGTGCTTGTAGTTTAGTGACCTATACTGTTCGGAAATAAATCGTAGTCGGCACTTTGTGTTGTTTTCTGAAATTTATAAACTCTTGGAATTGACTTAATAACGGTTATCAGGGCAGTTGAAGATAATCTACTCTAACCTAAGCCAACTTGGACAACATAGTAAAACCGATTTTTGACGGTTCTTCAAAAATTACATTAACTTTTGTTTTAAAGCTTCTCTGAAATGATTATCACAAATAAGACTTGTCGACATGTAAATTAATATTAACTCTATTTCACAAAGCTTGATTAAAATGTTATTATGAGAAGGGGTTTTGTGGAGATTCCGGTATTCGCATAGTTGAAATCATGAGTCAATTGAAGCGTACCGCTGAGGAGTCCCACAATGGGACGAAACGGTCGTCCAGTGCTTCCAGGTTTTCCATAGTAGTCTAGCTTCAATTGACTGATGCTTTCGACTATGCAAAACTATTGTGTACAATATGATAAAAAAATTTCTGTTCAACATCCATTTAAACTGTAATGATCCAAAAAAGAATTTTATTTGCAAACGTTTCTAACAGTATGTACCAGTTATTCATTTTTATTAGTTCAAATACTTGAATTATTATTTCCATTTATTACATTATGAAGAGATGAATGAATTCTGATGAATTTGTTATTCCAGTGGAATAGATGACAAATAAAGTTATACCCACAACTGTAATGTTTTTGTCTAAATTTTTCAGGACTTAACATAATAACAACTTGTAAGTCTCTTATGTCACAGTATATGCACAAATTTAGTTAACATTTATAATTTATTCAGTTTTAAGCAAATATAAAAAACAGAAATGTTAATAGTGATGTGTGCACAGTTAGAAAATAGATACTTTGATAATTGAATTCGTGAATCAATCTAAGATAGACCTTCATTGAAAACCTGGGAGCACTGGGCGGAAGTTATCTCCTAGTATTGGAATGCACAGAAGTACACACCCAAGATCCCACACCAAAGGGACTAAAATCCAGGACCTTCAGTGTCCCTCACGAACGCTTAATCTTCAGACCACTGAGCCCGTATCCAACGCTGTTAATGTTTAACTCTTATTGATTCATGATCGTGCATAATCATTCATCTATTGTCTGAGTTATAAACCTGTCTCTACCCGACACGAATTGGAACCTACTGGTCATGGCTTCCCACTACAACTCGAGAAAATCATCGTGAAGCCAGTCCCTAGTGAGTACATTATGATTATGATCAGAATGGTGTTTGTTGGAATTTTAATAACTTGAATAGTTGAATTTGTGAGTGTATGTAAGCTATTCCGACATACGCTATCGTGAATGTGCATTGCTGAGGAGTCCCGTACTAGGACGAAACAGTCATCCAGTGCTTTCAGGTTTCCAACGGTGATCTAGATTACATTGACCCATGAATTCAACTATTAAATTTACTATAATCTCCACAAACTCCCATTGCGATCAAAAAATAGATAGTCTAGACATTTAACCAGGTCATCTTAATAACTACCTATTGAATTATAATAAAATATGATAACACTGATTACATGATTTAATATTTTTCTAATTATTATGTAATGATCAGAAGGGGGTTTTGTGTAGATTCTAGTAATTTTATGTAGTTGAAATCATGAGTCAATTGAAGCTAGACCACCATAGAAAACCTGGAATCACTGGATGACCGTTTCGTCCAAGTATGGTACTCCTCAGCAGTGTGCGCCCACGATCCCACCTCAGGAAATTCGAACCTAGGACCTATCAGTTTCGCGTGCGAGCGCTTAACCACTAGACCAGTGAAAACTATTATTCATGTGATTTGTCTTGTAGGAGTTCTGTATAATTTTCTTCTCATTATTAACTGAATTGCAGATATTAGTGAGAAGTCTTAAGTTGTCAAGCTATACAGGTTATGAATACTGCAGTTATCCTCTGGTAACATTGAATGATGTTATTGATATGTAAATAATTAATTAAAGTTAGAAAATGCTTCAGTTATTCGATATTATTCGAGTGACTTGATTGTATAACACCCTTCATGATACCTGAATGTTATAAGATCAACCATCTCTTGGAATATTGGTGTGAAATGGGATCCCATAGCACACTGAAATTCCAGTCTAGAAATTCTTGATTTTTAATAGGTCTTCAATTAATGTCTATTGGTAACAAAATCTATCTTCACTATTGACTACTTTACCGATAGATTATATTACCTACAATAACTCATTTGATTACATCATAACATCTGAATAAGTTTGTACAATAGACTAATTGAACAATATAACACTTTTTTTGAAATTGTAAGTTTTGCCTTCATTCTATGATGAGTTGAAAATTTAACATTTATTTAATAAATTTATTATAGCTTCTCGTATTACGGTAAGAAAATGTCTACGAAGTGCTATTGGTAAGTTATTAGTTTACTGACTAAATGAAATCATAAAGAACAACTAAATTGGAAGGGGAAACCAATGAATTCTTTTACAGAATGAAAAAGAAAAACACAATTATAATCAAGTATACTTCTTATCGATTAAATTCATTATGAAACATCAATTAATGGTGTATTAAACATGAAGTTCCATTCTTTTTGTTGTTATTGTTGTTGTTTGTAATGTATTCCTCATCTTTCACGAATCTGTTTATTCTTGGTGATTTGAATATCCCTTTTAATATTTGTTCTATACTAATGAATAACTACTGATTAAATGAGGGTATAAAATTTTCTTTATATATCCTTCTTTGTGCATTACTCTTCTTTTTCTGGAGAGGTGATCATTGATATGTATAGACTTCTTAGATTCATCTTAGAAGACTAGTCTACAGAGTATGTTAAAAATGATAAACAGATGTATAGTAAACATTTGAGGGATATTTTTTGGCATTCTGGCTAATAATATTGTTTAGCTATGCAAAACAAAGTTGTTGGTAATCGGATTTAGATCATAGTGATTGAAGGTCTAGCGATATGGCTTCAAATAGACATCTTAGTCAACTTAGACTCGATGTTAGCTTTAAAGCATTGCACATTGAAGGAGAATAATGAATTTTCAAGTTAATTCTCATCAAAAATAACCCATTTATAATAAACTGATTTTTGGATATTAAAAAATTATGAGTAGTATATCTCATTGATTAAAGTTTGCAAGATCTAAATATAATACAACTAATATATATTACTGGCAAATAGAAATGAATGTATACACTCATTTCTATTGTCTTCCTCTTTTTTCTCAAATACGAATAAAAATCAATCTAAAAAGTTACTATACTCTTTTTTAGCAAATAAGAATCTAATATTAATAGTTTAGTAGCCCGAGATCTGACTTCAGTTGTATACTATGATTGATCGCTATTGAAATAAACATATTATCAATCCTCGTATATAATTATCGACTTAGATCGCGTTAGTGAATAAAGGAATTAAATAAGTCAAATACAAGAATGAATTCCTGAATAAGTATATTTTGTTCATTCATTGATCTGAGCAGGTAATCAGACGGATGAAGCGAACAGAAGTGGGTTAAGCGAAACGACGTGCAGTAGAGAAGGAATGTGAACCAACTCCATTTAATCAAGGGTGAATCGATATTTATAGTCGAACAAAAATAAGTTACAAATATATGATAAATAGAATGAGAAGTGTACACACTTATGCTCATATAAAAACAGTCAGGGTTGATAAGTGAATAATTAACAAGGTCGAAACGTGATTGAAGGAGAATGAATAAATTGGCCTGTCCAGAAGCTAGAATACGTTATATGGGCTTAACATAATAACCGACACTACAATAATAGTAGACATTGAACTCTCCAGTGAACTCTGCAATAAAACTTTTAAAAGATAAATCTTAAAAATTTGTAGGAAATTTCAATGTCAGATAAATAAATCAGCTTTTTTGTGGATGAAATTTCAATGTAAATCAAGTAATTTTTCATATGTTAATCTAATATCAGTCAGTCAGTCAGCTACAATGTAGGACCAGGCACATATAAGCATCAGTCCAAGTTGTCATACCTCATCAGCACACGATGAACAACGAAAGGAGTGATTCATTTAATGATGGTAATATACAAAAGAAAGATTGCATATAAGGATATAGTACAAGAAGAAAGAAAGATATGAAACAATTTCAATCTCATAGTTTAAGGGAAGACAAAGAGTGTATACAACTACGACATTGTGATCCATTCTGAGCCATGTCACACAAAGTCTCTAACCATTGGTTACCATAGTCACTCGGACCCCAACCAAATAGTCTGCATCTACCAACATGACCCAAACTAGAAATTACTGACTTCAAGCACTGATGCCACGTTTTGGTTTGTCCTCCCCTAATTCTCTTCCAATCATCTCCAACACTAGTCACAATTACGCATTGTGGTATTCGGTGTTCAAGCATACGTGACACGTGACCCAACTATCTGACATATAAAAATAATATTTTGTTCGCCCTCAAATGCTCTGATACGGCCGAGATTGGGGAGGGCCTACCCTCTCTCTCGAAATGCTCCCACATGGTCACGCATATGCAGCCTCTGTCAGGGCAGTTCTACTCACTGCCTTCTCGTGGTGGAGGTGTTGTTCACGAAATTAAGAGGACGAAAAGCGAATGTCTAGCGCTTTAACTGGGTTGGTGGCCACGGAGGGTCTACCTAGGGAAGTTGGAAAACCCTGATTCCAAATCAATGGTTCACATAAGCTCCAGTATCCTAAGGGAACAAATAGCATATGAACCAATCGTCAGTCACCGGCTATCATGGGACTGCATCTCCTTACGATAGTCTACTACCTTGTGGATCAAACCTTTAGGTCAAAGGCTCTGGGTGTGGGACCCTAAGAAAACCACCTGCTTTGGTCTGGGCACCAGGGCAGTTTCATAGCCTTCACACAAATCAAATAAGATTTTTATGGCGCATATATATCTGATGCTCCTTTTGAACCAATATTTATGTGTTCAAATAATTAACCAAAAACAAAAACAGTCTATAAAAATAGCCAATACTATTGAATATGATGCTTTCCCATATTATTCACTTAATTTATCATTACATTTAATGAATGAAACATTTAATAATGATTAATATTAAAATATCTAATTAATTTCATCATAAATCTATGATTCTTTTAATTATTTCATATGATCAAGTATAATTAAGGTTTTTTAAAAATCAATTTGGTGAATGAATTTCATACAATTTAAGCCATTTTTTATTATTTTTCAATTTCTCATTGATTATACCTTCCATTTCTTTTTTTTTTGGTCATTTGAACTCAGTAACTAGGTAGATAATGTAGTGATGTTTGAAACAAAATACACTGAGTCTGAATCCTAGAGTAATTATCAACTCGAATGGAGGTATATCCAGATAACCAGTCACAGATAAGATGAAACACTCTTTCTGTATTCTAGTGCTAGCATCATTTCATTCATTATATGTAAACTTGTATCACAATCACCATATAGGGGAAATCCTCACAAAATGAACATATACAGGCTAAAACCGTCAAAATATTAACAACGGGATTATACAAATCCTCACAAATTAAATTTCAGTAAAATACTTTATAGAAACTACATATATACATTGTATAGCAGAACCTCATGTAAAAAGTATAAAACGGATCGTAAAAGTGAAACCTTTTTTTTGAAACTATTCAACACATAATAATAAAGTATCGATATGTTTCTAGTATCCCAATCGGTGGAAAATTGGATTTCTAACATTTTATGGTCTAACATAAGTAGCTTCTTCAGAGAATAACTAAACATGATTAGATTGATTTAGATTGGACAAAATATTCCAATTTATATTTCTGTATTGTTCATACTTATGTTTATTTTATTATCTAAAGAAGCAAACTACACTATATCTTGAAATGTAAGGAATTGGATTTGTTACTCATTAAAATATTACAGATATATTATTACTTTTTTATTGTAAACAAATCATCCAATTAAAAAAGTTGAATTCATTAGTCCATGTAAGCTAATCCATCTTGCGTGATTGCTGAGGAGTCCCATACTAGGACGAAACAGACGTCCAGTACTTTCAGGTTTTCAATGATGGTCTAGATTACATTGACTCATAAATTCAACTATTAAATTTACTACAATCTATACAAACTCACATTCTAATAGAAATCATCCAATTCTCAATTTATTTGCAATTATCAAGCCGATTCTTGGTAATCATACATCTAATACTTAACATTCTATTAAAAAAAAGAAACAGATTGTTTCTATTATAACAGCCTGTTGAATTCCATTTACTTTTATTTTGCAATATAAAACTTAAACAGTCTTGAGCATCAGCGATAAGCATTTTTTTATCATACCATTTGATCAGTTAACCTTAAGAAAACAATTTTTTAACGTTTACAACTATTCACAATCACAAATCGTTTCACAGGGGTGAAATTATACAAAACTTGAATTTTTTTAGTTCTATAAAATAGTCAGTAATGATGACGAATACTTACTTACTTACTTACACCTGTTACTCCCAATTGAGCATAGGCCGCCGACCAGCATTCTCCAACCCACTGATGATGACAAATAATTAAAAAAATAATAATAAATAGTTCATTTACCAATAATCTTTTGTTTATGATTGAATTACTCCAAAGGATTTTTTCTCTCTATTCATTGTTTTTTACAAGATCATCATTTTTCACCAAAAATTTAAAACAAAACAACAACGCTGATTTGATTGATTCCCTTCCCCCCCCTCTTTTAGTTATATTCAGAGTGTTAAAACATGATTATCTTAGAATTATTTTTTGTAACAAAACATGTATCCTTCCTCGGAGATTTCACCTACCTAATTTTTCAAAAAAATTAAATAATGATCTGGTATAGTTCCCATATATTTCCTTTCTTTTTTTTCTGATCTTCTTTAGCTAGCCCATCTCGATCAAGTAGGTCAAATACAACATTTTCCAGTCCATATAATAAAAAAATTGAAAAAATTTATGCATCTACACCATTTAGTAAAATACAAAATATGTTATCTGATTCATCAACACAAATGATATCACCATTAGCTACTGGTGTATTTACTAATGATGGTGTAACATGTTATGCTTTCACTGGATTACAATATAGACAAAAAACTAATGATACTACTATGAATTACAATATCAGTAGTAGTAATGATGATGATAATAATAATAATCATTCTACTAATCTTCATTCGAAAACATCTACTACATTAAGTGTTTCAAGAGAAATGAATAATTGGACTGGACCAGATTCAGCTGAAACGTATCGATTAGAATTATTATTAGCTAATAATGTATTAATTGAAAAAAATAATGAAAAATTGGTAAATTCTGAATTGAATAATTTACAAAATTCTACTATTAAAAATTCCATAGTTTTAGTACATTCAGATAAACCACTTGAAGATTTATCTCATCGAATATCTTGTTTAAGTAAGTAAATACGTTAAGATAAAATGAAGTTGTATACTATTTCTTTTTCTTCTTTAAAATATTAACTTGATTAAAATAAATTTGTTACATTCAGTCAGTCAGTCAGCTACAATGTAGGACCAGGCACATATATGCATCGGTCCAAGTTGTCATACCTTGTTAGCATGATAAAATGAACACTGAATTCATAGAAGTAGTCAATTTAGTCTCCAGTCATAGGTTACGATAGTCACGCGGACCCCAACCAAGTAGTTTGCATCTACCAACAAGAAGTTATTGACTTCAAGCATTGACGCTACGTTTTGGTTTGTCCTCCCCTAACTCTCTACCAATCATCCCCAACAATAGTCAGCATTGCGCGTCGTGGTAATCGGTGTTTGGGCATACGTAAACACGTGGCCCAACCATCTCAGTTGGTGAAGATTCCCTAATACCCTTTGTCTAACCTCACTATTACTTACCCGGTGATCCCAACAGATGCGAGCAATATTTCTAATACATCTGTGGCCAAATACTAGTAACTTACGAGTATCTTCTAGTCTTAATGGCCACATTTTGCAGACGTGAAGTAGAACAGAGCGAACTGCTGCGCAGTATATTCGTCCCTTAATTGATAGACGGATATCTCGTCTTCGCCAAAGGTTATGTAAGTTGGCAAATGCCGAACGAGCATTTTTAGGGTCGACCTTTTCTAACCCCAGCATCGCTGTTATGCTGGTTATCTGAAAGAAACATCTTACTGTCGTCACACCTCAGCAGTACGACTTCACTTTCGGATCTAGGGTTTGCTGCTTTTAGTCTTACCGCTACTAAACAGTCCTGATAGCCACTTGCTTGTGCAGTCGGGCTATATCGAGACAATAAGCACAGTATGCACATATACCAATAAGAGACTGACCAGTTGTAGTCCTAAACATCAATGGGAAGATTTAAACAAGTAATACTGTGTAAATTTAAACTTCACCCCATTGCTTCATATATGTCTTTCTTCCTGTATTATATACTTATATACAATCTTTCTTTTATATATTACCAAAACTGAATTAACTATTTCTATGGATTTGGTGTTCATCTTGTTGTGCTAATTGGGTATGGCAACTTGGACCGATACATATGTGTACCTGATCCAACATTGTAGCTGACTGACTGACTGAATATACTAAAACTAATAGAATGGAGAAAAATTCCGGAATATATCGTTTTTTTGTTTTACATTTATAATATTGATTGAATAAATAATCTTTCAAGTTCTATCTCTTTTATCTTTTTCTCTATTCCAGTTGCTTCAAGCCCCAACTTACATGATATCAAGAATCCTGATGAAGTAGATTATATAACATGGCAACTACTTGGAGTATTTGCTTTTACTTTTGTCACATTAATGATATCATTAACAGTAGCGTTTACTTGTTTACATCGTGAAGGATGTGATTTTGTTAGTTTCATAAAATATACTATTGAATTTTTTAAACATTCATAAATCTTTCTAAATATTTTTTGGTAAGAAAAATGTAGACACAGACAGAAGAAAACCATCAGTAAACTACTTATATATATATATATAGAAATAAACTTTTCATCTTGTATTTGCTTGCACATAACTTCCATTTACATTCTAATACATTTCCATGTAAGATTTATTTTTAAATGGTTTCAATATTCAATTTTGTTTTCTTTGGATGATATTGTTATCTATTGATTTATTTTCTATTATTACAATCATATATAATCAGAATATTGACATTCTAATAAATTGATTATCATTTATTCTTCGCCTGTTCCTTACGGTTATATGAATGACTTGTGAAAGAAGTAGAAGAGGTGAGAAAAGAACGTTCACCACTTAGGTTTCAGTAAATACTACTGGAATTGAAAAACGATAGATTATTCATCGTTGTAATCTGCTTAATTTTACTTTAAATTTTATGTTACTTACAAGTAGTATAAGTTTTAAATAAAAATTAATCGAAGCCATTAACATTTAATAATGATGACAAGTTTATTACTGGGTTAATATTTGTAGGCATCACTATTATGTTTAAGTAACCAGATAATAGAATAAAAATTAATGACTTAAATTTTCATTATTACTCGATAATGAAATCAATAATAAATTCCACCAAGTCATAAGTTTGCATGATAGAAAAGCTTTCGTTATCTGAAATAGAGAAGTACAAATAAATATTTTATTATATGTGAAAATTATATTTGAAATGATCTCAGCGATTGAAACTTAAGTAATTCCAACGTTTCATCCAGCTAACTTGTCTGGACTCCTTCAGGGTAATAATCAAAATCATCAAAGAAATATACAGAGTTTTATTAACAATCATATCAAAATCTATACAACGTTAAACCAATCATATTTGGATGTTGCATTTTTGTAAACAGGATAACATGAGTCAGTTAAGTGAGAATCAGATGAAAAGTTCACGATGTGAAATAAAAGAAGACTGGATGAATTATGTGTGTATGTATGTGAGAATCATCAAGTACATAATAGTAATGTTAAACATAAATTATATTGATTTCAGTCCAAATAACGATTCATATGAAATAAACTGGTTTAATAAAGAAAGAAATGGTCCAATTACTTGTTGTTTGCTTGGTATTTGCCAAATGGTTGCTAGCTGAATACCATCCTTTCTGTTTAGGCTGTTCTTATTCATCCATATATACAGCGCTTCTGCTTTCAATCTTTCATTATGAATATTAAAACCTTTCTGAAGTATTTTATCCCCTTAAAAAATTAATCTTATGTCCCGTTTCTAACGCATATAACTCTATCACAGACTTATTCTCAAGTTTCCTTATGTCAGCCGAAGTTTTGGGAACATTTTTCAAACACTGTTTGTGTTTCTTCAACTTTACATTCAATTGTCTGGATGTTTCTCCAATATAAGCTGCATTACAATCACGACAGTTGATCTCATTGACAATATTTTGGTGTTCTTCCTTTGGTAACCTATCCCTAATTTTCACTAATACCGACCTTATAGTGTCACACGTCCGAAAATATACTCTTATATCATGTTTGTTTAGAATCCGCTTGATTTCCTCCGATGTTTCACTACGGTATGGGATGACTACAGTAGACTTGCAATCTTTTTGTATACATTCTAGTTTAGTTTTTCTTTCATCTCTAATAATCTTCTTTAAAAACTCCTTTGGGTAGTTGTTATCCCTAAGTCTAGACAAAATCCTATTCAATTCCAATTGTTGGTCTTCCTTATCTGTAACAAGATTAATACTTCTGTTAATTAAATTTTTAACAACCGTGACTGATTAACAAATAAATAGGTGAACAGAGAAATTGATTCTTCGGAATTTTATCAAACCGTCATACAGGTACAAAACATACTATCTATTAAATTCACTTAGTATTATTTGTTTGAATCTTTCCACATCCAGCTGACGAGTTCCAAATAGGACGTCCTGGATTCCACCGCTAGACACTATCCATCTTTGCTTACCATTTTATCTATTAGTAAGAAAACATCGAAAAAAAAATTTTCTATCCATATTTTTGAAAGAGCTTGTTTATGTGAAAGATACGTTTATGATTAACTTTACTGTCTGGATAAAACAAAGATTTTTTTGGGTTTTTATCTTCATTATTTTAAATATTTACTTTTCGACCAATAATTATTATCTCTGCTTTCTATAGCTCTGTCAATTTCCATCATACCAGTTTCATCAGTTGATTAAATTTTGTTATTACTCTATACTCTACTTACATGAAAAACATGAAGATTTATCAAATCTAAATGAATCTCCTGATATTTTAGACTTACTATCATTAAAACAAGCAATGAAGTTTGTTTTGTGTAAAAGAATGAGAAGCGATATGTTGCAATATTATTAGTAGTATAAAGGAATAAGAGAAAATATCATTGCTGACGTAATACTTAAAAAGGATAAAGAATGAATAGATCTGCATTACCGTTCTCAGCTCAAAATTATTTTAATTCAATATTTCACGGACAAAAAAATCACAAAATCTGCATCTATTGACACTCTTCAGATAAATGAATAACGACGATATGGTTAGACTTCATTGCTTTGTCTGAATGTTTTTATCAACCAATTTAATGATATTCAAACTAGGATTTCTTTCAAGGTAGATAATTACTGTGTTTTTTCAATGTATGTTTCATAACCACCGAAGCTTAAGGTTCTTAATCTTAATATTACTTACTAGACGATCCCTCTGTGCTGTGAAAACACTGTAATACATCCGTGTCCAAACAGTATTAACTGACTAATACGTCCTACTCTCAAGTGAAAAATATTAGAGTTCCCTCAGTGAGAATCTATTCCCTCGAAATTTCAGGTACACATCTCTGGCGCGTGTCAAGTAGCATGATACCAAGATTCAAGGCTCCATGTCTGTTCACATCAACCACTAACATTCAAACGAAATTAACGTCATGTCAAGTCACTTAGACTAGTAGCCACAATGCTACTTTACCTGTGGAATTCTTTCACTGTCAAGTACTGCATAAACATAAAATTGCTTGATAGTCAGTGATTGATCAATGTAATTTGTCTGCAAATGTTTTATTAAAATAAGTTCAGATGGGATAAATCATTCATTTAATCTATCCTAATATGGTCACATTCGCAATTTTACTTTCCCTAAATGTTTAGCCTAGAACCATTCTATGTTTTTTTCATTCCGTCTCAATATTTACTTTTGCTTAGCTTCTCACCTCTATTTCTTATGTTGTTAATTTTTTCTCGTAATAGTATAATGTAGACTAATTTGAACCAACATAGATTCAAATGTTATTTGCGACTGAAAAACCGATTGACACTATTTAAATTTACATTACAAGCACGCTAACGATTGTTTATACCAACTACGTTCATAAGTTTTAACTTCTCAACCGTCATCATTGTCACTATCATCATGTTTAGAAAGTGGATTGAAATTATAATGACGATTTTACTTAACTGTTGTAACTACAGACATCGTGAATTAAGTGTCAGTTGAAATAAAAAAAGTTGTATACATATTGAAAGTACATTGGAATAATATCCATAAACATTATTTAGTTCATTTATTACCAGGTATTTCATTTTTCCCTATGCATATCATTATTTATTTAGTGAAATAAATTATATTACTTATATTTTGCTTGTAAGTAGTATAAATTCTAAGAAGAAATATATTCGCATCACGTTGACAACTTAAAAAAATCCCACAGGATATTTAAAAATAAAGTATTAGAGTGGAATATAGTGTTTGATAAGGAAACTATCGAAGAAGTTCGTTCATCGTAATGTTCTTTTATTTAAAAATTACTCTACTTAGTAATGATAATTACTACGCTTTTAGAAATGACTATTTTTTAGATGAATATATTGATGTTCTGGTTGGGAATATTAATATATGAAGTCAATCAAGCCATTACTGAGGCTATTTATCAAAAGCAATGTCTTTTTCAGGTTCGCATATAATAACATGCTGACGGAGAATAAGTTAATACCAATCATTAGGTTTCGAGTTAGTAGATGAATAGCATCTATAATTCTAATCATGTGATACAACACACTGAGGATCAACATTATGTATAATTAAAGAGTCAGGCTACAAAAAAGACAACAGTTTACTATTGCTTGACCGTCTTGATGATATCCACGTTAACTTCAAAGTATATTTTTTCGCTGACAAATATCTGTATGATCAGTTTTTCCATATTATACCCCTCAGGGATGTAGTAACTTATTATTTTGATTATTGTTTTCAAAAAAACAATCTTGTTTCATAAAAAAAAATATATAACATGCTGTATTGAAGCGACTCGAGGATTCATTTAAAACAGTTGAACCAATTGTAGAGTCTGGAATCAAAACAATTGATATGCTTATAAACGGAACTATAAATAATATCCACTTAATTAACACAGTTTAAGACATTTTTAAGGCACCTACAAAAGTCGATATGCAATTAAAGAATAATTTACTTATATTCTTGATAAACTGAATGATAACTAGTTGCTGTTTAGTTCAACAACGGTAGGCGATAGACGGAAACAAGAACTATGCACATTAAATACATGGAATCTGTTACCAATAGGTAAATATCCCGTGAATAAACAAGAAACAAAGGTTAGCTATAAAGAATGTTAAGAGAATAAAAGAACGATAATAAACAGGTTAAACGTCATGAGTTCGCTGAAATATTTAAAACGAAAAACGAAAAAAATGAAGACATTAAAAGCTTATGTACTTAAATATGGTTAATGATAACGCATGCCACTGAATATTAGTAAGTAATATAGTACAATATACAAAAAGAAGTCGAGTAAAAAGACATCTTAATGAAAAAAAACAAGTGCAGTCAGCTTTTGCTGACTAACTTAATACGATTGGTTTCAATAAAACTTCTTTGAAAAAAGAATAAATTGATTCATCAGCATCCTTTTTAATTAGTTATCAATGGGATATAAATAAAAAATATTAAGTCAATGAACCATACTATTAAAACCATATCTGTTGTGAGGCATTTAATCACTGAAGACAATGGTGGATAGTCGTGCAATATTGTGGATTGATTGAAGTTAGACATTAATACATTTGGATGCCGGCTCAGTGGTCTACAGGTTGAACATTCGCGGACAAGGCCGAAGGTCCTGGATTCTAGTCTCTTTGATGATGCAGGATCGTAGATGTGCACTGCTGTGGAATCCGATACTAGGAGGAAGCGGCCGTCCAGTACTTCCAGACTTTCAGTGATGGTCTAACATTGATCGATTCGTGATCTCAATCAGAAACTCAACAATCTCCACAACCCTATACTGAGAACTTATTTCATTTTATGAGTCAAGTAAATTAAATAAACATATGTTAAATTGAATTAATTAACGCAATATCAGAAAAATTTATCGAAAAAAAATTTTCGAAACATTCTGTCACAATTGGTTATGTCATTTGTTGTTGTAAATAATTTATGGATACTTTATATTATAATCATGCTCTAATCAATTGATATGAATCTGATAGAATTTGAGAGCGTTTGGTCTATGCTACTTATATCTGTCGACATAAGTAGTATGTATCACCAATCAGAGGTGGACTGAGCGACAGCAGAAGGTTGAGAGCATTGACTTGAAGAGAACGGGAATACAAACACAGAGTAATTGTAATAACAATAAATGAATGATGAAGTTTGAGACAATTGAAGGGAGATTTACAAATGAAGTATTTAATGTATGATTTTTCACATTTTACGAAAGAATTAATTAATTTTGCACTGAATAATAATAAATTGGTTGTCCCCAGCTGAGTTCTCATTCACTACAAGATGAGCGAATTGCTGACGTTTGATTTGTATACTGAAGAACTGTAAATTATTGATAAAAATCAATATACAGATACATCGAAATTTTATATCAAATGGACTCTTCGTTAAATACAATCTATCATTGATATCTAGGCGAGACCCTAATTTATGGACGAAACAATCAGATACAAGATAATGAGTTCTTAATTTTGGCGCGAAATTCATTCATACATTTGGCTAAATAAAGTGCTGGCATTATAGCTGATGTCAGTTGGTGATGAAAACCGTAAGTTCAATTTTTAACCCTGACCATCAACTGCAATTCATAATTCTAACTGGTTTATAACCCTCATTTAATCCTAATCAGTAGGAGTTCATTTTCATCGCCACTTCAGCTTCGTTAGAAGGTCTCCCATAAATTATAGGCTCACCGATATCCCTTTTTGATATATTTCCAAATAATGAAGTTCTTCAAAATAATTTTTTTATTATATCTACACTAATGTTTGTAAAATTAAGTTTTACACGTTTAAAGTAACGCGATAATCGAATGTGATTGTTTAGTTCACTTAAATTTGTCTTATAAATAATCAATTAAGTAATAATATTGATTAATATCAGGAGGGATTTTTGTGGATATTATAGTAATTTTAATATGCCGCTCAATTTCGTGGATTAGTTGAAGTTAGACATTAACACAGTTGGATGGCAGCTCGGTTGTCTAGAGGATAAGCGTTCACGCGCGAAACCGATAGGTCCTGGATTCGGACCTCGCGAGGTGGGATCGTGGATGCGCACTACTAAAGAGTCCCACAATAGAACGAAACGATTGTTTAGTGCCCCCATGTTTTCCATGGTGGTCTAGCTTCAATTGACTCATGACCTCAACTAATAAAATCAATAATATTGACTTTGAAAGGAGTTTAGTTTAGTTCTTCTTAAAAGGAAACAACGAAGTCTGATTATCGGTAAAAAAATTCAAAAGAACAAAATACACTGAATTAATGACTTAATGTTACTGCACTAATTATCATCTAGTCAACTTATTGACTATCATGTATATTGATTAGTAAAATGGAATGTGAGGAAAGCCAAATTATATATTGCATCGGGAATTGGAAGCAGACATGAAAAAGATAAATAGCAATTGGAAACAACTGGAAAGGATTGTTCAAGACAGAGTTGGATGGAGAATGTTGATGGATGGCCTATGGTCCTACACGATTATTCACAGGCCTAAGTAATTAGGTAATCAAAATGATATGTAAACAATTTTACCCCTATTATTTCTCTGTTAGTCAAAAAAGCACAGTCACTTATTTGGAGTGGTTTTTGGTTTCCTATTACTGATATTAAAGTTTACCATTGAATGATCTCTATTAGTATATCTATATCCAGAGAAGATTGACTCAATGTTACCACAGGGTCACATGACTCAGCAGTTTAGTGAGATATTGGACGAAAATACAAGTATAAAAATAATAATATTACTCGAAAAAATAAAAGAACATAAGAAAAATGAGTTAATAATATATTGAATAAAGATATATAATTTACAAAGAGATTTATTTGCTAATAATTTACACAAGGGGTTTTTGTGGAGATTTAGTATTTTCATAGTTGAAAGCGTGAGTCAATTGAAGCTAGACCATCAGGGAAAACCTGGAAGCACTGGACAGCCGTTTCGTCCTACTGTGGGACTTCTCGGCAGTGCGTACCCACGACCTCGCCTAGCGAGATTCAAACTCAAGGCCTACCAGTCTCGCGCCAGCACACTTAACCAATAGACCACTGAGCCGACCAGCATCCAATGGTGTTAATGTCTAGCACCAACCAATCCACGAAGTTGAGTAACCGTTCACCAATTGTCTTCAGTGAGTTCCTATCTCACAACAGATATGGTTTGAACTCCACTGGTCACTGCTTCTCACTAGAACTCCTGGATTTACCTCTCGAAGTCAGTCACTAGTGAGAATATGATTATCATTATTATCAGAAGGAGGAGTCCCACAGTAGGACGAAACTGCCGTCCAGTGCTTCCAGGTTTTTCCTGGTGGTTTAGCTTCAATTGACCCACACTTTCAACTATGATAATAATTTACAGTTGCACGTTCAATAGATCCAAAACTAATACTATAATTGTGATAGGAAATGATTAACTTCAAAATAATTTGATAGACATCAATGTTATAAAAAAATAATTAACTACGATATCATTCATGAACATCAACTGTAAAGATATGTATCACATATATTAGAACTGTGTTAATTTGAGAGTCATTTCAGAGGGAACAAAATGTGAAGAAGGTAGAATGTGTATTTGCTGAATGGTATTTAATGTACCATGTAAAAAGTGTACAAAGAAATTTGATATTGAATTAAATGACCTTTTGTGGTCAATCACAACCAAGATTACTTATAAATCAAATGTAGATGAATTGCTTCTATAGTCTATAATAAATTTGAAATGAAATTTACTGAGTTCACATCTCATTGCGAATATAATATTTGAAATGTATAGGTATATTCCAAATGATGAGTGCCAAATAAAATGAAATCCATGTCATGGATTGTTCTACTAGTCATAATCCAACTTTACTAAACCATAGTCACTGTTTAAAGGCATTGATATTAATAGTTGAATTCATGATTCGATCAAAGCTAGACCATCATTGATAACCTGGAAGCACTGGATGACCGTTTCGTCTTAGTATGGGACTTCACAACAATGTGCATCCACGATCCCACACACAAGGCTCCAACCTAGGACCTTAGTTCTCGTGCACAAACGCTTAACTTCTAGACCACTGAACCGTCATCCAATAGTGATATTATTTTTATATTAATTATTTTAAAAGTTATTTATTTTTGTTTTTAAATGGTGTTATGCTTTCGATCCAACTTGAAAATCAATTCGTGATATAAAACTTTAAGTTCAACAGCTCCCACAACAATGATCTTGTGTTTACTGACAGCTAACTTCAAGAAATAATCGTTAGAGTTCTTGTGAGAAGTCATGACCAATATGATCCAACCATAAGACATATATCAATACAATATCGTGAACTCACTGAAGTTATAAATGTATATTACTGGATAACCAACTTAGTGGTTTGAACTTTAAATATTCACAGGAAGGGATACGTTGTAACCGGGATACTACTGTAGATACATGAAATCGGAAGTTGCTGAAATTTTCAAAATACAATTAAGAACTTGAAAACTGATTTCAGAAGAAAATTTATTTCACTCTTTAAAACAGATTGACTTTTAAGTCCAAATATATTGATTTTTATGTAACTTTTTAAACACGCTTGACAATAAGCTAGTAACTATCAAATATAGAAAAAAAATGCACAGAATTACTGTGAAAACATCTGAGTTGTGTCATAGTGAACGAAATTAGTACTAAGTTATTACAAAAAATATTATCCCGAATAAACGTTACTTAGAGAATCAAGCAATATGAGTAATTGTCACATTGAACTAAAAATGGAAATGATCTTGAACGAAATCATACTGAATCATACTGAAATCATACTGAAATCAAACTGAATCATACTGAAATCATACTGAAATCATACTGAAAAACGGTTAGTTCACATCCTTTTCTATAAATATACTTCTTACTTACATACGCCTGTAAACCCTCATGGAAGAACATAGGCCGCCCACTAACATTCTCTATCCAACTCTGTCCTAGACAATCCTTTCCAGTTGGCATTCATCCTCTTGATGTCTGTCTCTAATTCCTGACTCAACGTGTTGATCCATCTTCCTCTTTCCCTTTTTCCTTCAGGATTCCAAGTTAAGGCTTACCTTTTTATAATTTCCTCAATATATATCCTATTCACCTTCAGCATATTTTTCTAATTTCCCATTGATCTGAAAGCTGATTTATTCTCTGCCATAGTATATTGTTGCTTCTGGTATCCGGTCAACAGGTATTGAGTATCTTGAGTAGACAATTATTTATAAATATTTCTACTATACATCAACATCAGATCCTCTTTGCTGAAATTCTTACTGGATGCCTCATTGTATTCATCATATTTCTTTTTTTTCAATCTTCTTATATGAAGAAAATTTCTACCTAAACTAATAGGAGAAATGATACGGTGATGATGATGATGATGATGATGATGATGATGATGATGATGATGATGATGATGATGATGATGATGATGATGATGATGATGATGATGATGATGATGATGATGATGATGATGATGATGATGATGATGATGATGATGATGATGATGATGATGATGATGATGATGATGATGATGATGATGATGATGATGATGATGATGATGATGATGATGATGATGATGATGATGATGATGATGATGATGATGATGATGATGATGATGATGATGATGATGATGATGATGATGATGATGATGATGATGATGATGATGATGATGATGATGATGATGATGATGATGATGATGATGATGATGATGATGATGATGATGATGATGATGATGATGATGATGATGATGATGATGATGATGATGATGATGATGATGATGATGATGATGATGATGATGATGATGATGATGATGATGATGATGATGATGATGATGATGATGATGATGATGATGATGATGATGATGATGATGACATTGTTTACATAGTAGATATATCAGTTAATTTGACATTTATTTTTCATAAAATTCTTTCCAATTTTTTTTCTTTTAATGAATTAAAATAACAGAAAAAGCAGAATCATAAAGTCATAACGTATATCCTTTTTTAGTTAATTCATAAAAACAAGTTTAGTCAAGTTTTAAAATTTACTCTTATTCTTTATTGATGGTATATGTATGTATATATTGTATTAGAAAATAGAATTGTAATGTTTATGTATGTATTCATATGTATGTTAGTGTGTAAGTGATAGTACGTGCTTAGGAATTCAGTAGGAACATTATAAGGATACATTTGTAAATTTGAGAAATAGGGGAGTTTATGGGGGGGAGGCAAGGAGATAAATGACTATGGACGGGATATATATATAACTACAAACAACACTTGTACTTGTCATAATAAAGTAAAAAGAGAAAGGTGATAAAGTAGAGGAATATGAAAAAAAAAGAAATTATCAGTTGAATAGTGGGAGTATGAAATTAGGAGAAATTGTTTTGTTCAACATATTATTTTCGTTTCTTTTAATTTTCTTTCAGTAAGAAAAGATAAGTCTGTACATTTGTATGTACAGAATACACACAGATATGGAGAAGGTTTTATGTATGATGTTGATTTGTAAATGCAAGCATGAGTTAAGATAGTGGTTGTAGATAAACAAAAGGAAACCCTGAACTTACGTTTCGCTCTACTTGGAACTCGTCTTCAGAGTGTATCTGTAATCTTGAGGGAACTGACGGATTCAACCCTGTGTCACCCAACTTCTTACAAAATATATATACATATATGTTTACCAGATTAATTGTGATTAGAAGTAGAATCTGAAAAAGTTTGTTTTATCCTATTCGGGACTTGTCATTTAAATGCACTTGCTTTCCAGTTTCAGTATTTAAAACTGATATTTATCATCTTGAATGCCCATCGCTTTATCCGCTGACCTACTGAGTTTAAACAGTTACTTGCTTGTTCAATAGGTATGATATTTGTATCTCTACAATTAGTAAAAGTTTGGCTTTATCCTATTATTAATATTCTGGACTGAATTTCGATCACTCATTGTTAATATATATTGATCTTGTGCGAATAGCCTTAATTTAGTCAGTTATATATGTAATGTTTGTAGATAAAAGAACTGAGTTATTAAATAATTTGGATGAAACTAGAGAAAAACTTTCAAGAAATTCATGAAATGTTAAGAGGGATTTATGAGGAAAACATTATCAAGTAAACGATTAGTTTTGAATGAAGTAAACATTTCTTGACTAACCAAGTCTTGCATGAGGAATCGTGGATACGTACTGCTGAGAAGTTCTGTATAAGGACGAAACGGTCGTCCAGTACTCCCAGGTTTTTAATGGTGGTCTAGCTTAGACCGAATCATGAATTCACCCATTAAGTTTACTACAATCTCCACAAACATCATTCTGATAATAATTATCATCTGCTCACTAGTGACTAGCTTCAAGATGGATTTTCTGGAATTCTAGTTGGAAGCCGTGACCAGTGGAGTCCAATCCGTATCGGTTGAGGACAGTTATTCGCCTCCGATTGAGGTTGGATAATAACACTGATAGATGCCAGCTTAATGGTCTAGAGGTTAAGCGTTCGTGCTCAAGAACTAAAGTCCTGGGTTGGAGTCCCGTGTGCGAGATCGTGGATGCACACTGTTGCGAAATCTTATACTAAGACGAAACGATCATCCAGTGCTTCCAGATTTCCACTGGTGGTCTAACATTGATCGATTCAAGATTATAACAAAATGGATACATCATATATTATGTAAAGCTAAATATTTATAGTCTCATCTCATGTATTTATGAGATAAAACTTTGTATATTACACCTGTCAAGTAGGTCATAACTATTGTGACTTCATAGCCTAATGTAATATGCTATGACTTTTGAAGTGATGTGTACTACATTTGAATTTCATATGAGAACATTCCTAGGATAATTCTAACTAATGAAGAATTACGTCGTTCGAAACTTGATGTAATCTATTTCAGTTTCAAGATGCTTCCTGTCAATCATTTACTGTTATATGAGTCAGCCAGTAATTTTTTCATTTATCTTTTTTTATTACATTCAGTGTAAATAGATTTTGAGTTATCATCGATGTAAATCTTTATTTTCTTTTACAAAGAAAGTCAGACTCTTCATTTCACTGCCCTGATACATTTATGTTTATTTTAAAAGACTTTCGTCAAAAATGTACATAATACTCCCGCCGAATACGTCTTCTGAAGAAAAACCTGAACTAGTATTTTAATTGTAAATAAACCATCAACTTAATATTATAATATTAAGTGAACACTTTATAATTAAATCATTATCAAGTATTCATAATTAGTCTTCGCATCAGTAGGCTTCAACATACACAAAGGAAAAAGCAAGATTCTCAAATACAACATGGAAAATACCAGCCCAATCACAGTTGGCGGAAAAGCTCTGGAAGATATGGAATCTTTCGCGTACCTGTAAAGCACCATCAATGAACAAGGATGATCCAATGCAGGTTTAAAGGAGAAAATTGGCAAAGTAAGGTTAGTATTCCAACAACCGAATGACATACGGAACTCAAAACAACTGTCAACCAATATCAAAGTCATAATCTTCAATACGAATGTCAAGACTGTTCTACTGTATCGAGCTGAAATGTGGTGAACTACTAAAAGCATAATCAAAAAAGTATAATTATTTATGAACACTTGTCCATGTAAGATACTCAATGTCCGTTGACTGGATACCATCAGCAACAGTCTACCGTGGGAGAGAACAAACCAGCTTCCATCTGAAGTAGAAATTAGGTAAACATTCTGGATGCGGGTAGGACATACTTTGTGGAAATCACCACACTTCAAAACGAAGCAAGCGCTAACTTGGAATCCTCAAGGGAAATGGGAAGATGAAGACCGAGTAATACATCGAATCGGGAATGGGAGGCAGACATGAAAGGAATAAATAGCAATTGGAAAGAACTAGAAAAGATTGTCCAGGACAGAGCTTGATCGAGAATGCTGGTGGGCAGCCTATATTCTTCCACGAGGGCTAACAGGAGTAAGTAAGTAAGTATTCATAATTGTTTCTCACTTCATCACAAGATTATCGTGAAATTGGAAAATCCTAACTTTTGAAGCTATTTTTCAATAGTTTGGTGAAACAATAGTATCTTTTATACTGATGAATATTTTTCTGCATAATATATGCAATGTGTCGTAAAATAGGAGGTCGTTTAAATTTTTCCCCCAATGGAATTAATAATTATTTGTATTTCATAGAATCAAAAAAATAGTGATTACATCGAAATTTCTTGTTTTGTCCCCCCCTCCACTCTACCAAACACACAGGGATAAAACAGTTATTTTTTTTTTCATAATTCGACAGTAACTACTGAGTTTTTCTTTGATGGTGATAATATTTTGAATTATTGTCATCGACTCATCAACTTGAAAAATGATGAAGGAAACAGAAATTAAGATTATGATTGAATCTAATCAGTATCCATGACTTCGACTATTTTGTAGAGAAAACAAAATAAATCAGAAAAACAGTAACAAACACCACCACCATCACCCTAGTGATCATCATCATAACGACGAAAACAACTTCGAACTAATAAATCACGCGTAAAATCTCTTCATACTCACACACACGCACACACACAAGCACACGAACACCTATCGAATTTACAAGATTTCATTAAGAAATAAAAACAAACAAATTCACGTTTATGAAATTCATATAACATTTTTTTATGTTTTCATTTAAATCTACTCATATTGTGATTGGCATGAATTAGAAGATAAATGAGAAAGAAGCCGTAAAAAGGAAACTAAGAAACAGAGGAACAATTCAATTGAATTTACTTTTTAATAATAATAAACGAATGAAACGTTTAAATTCAAATCAAGATAAGGAGAATTTGCCACTGTTTCGTTTTTTTCTTTGTTTATAAATTTATGATGTATGATATTTGAGTTATGAATTGTTATTTAGTGAGGGAGGTAGATTTAGTGAATGAGAATTGTGCTACGAATGCACTTGGACACTTACATCAAAAATGGTGTTTTCATTATAGAGGTACCGTGTATATGTTTTGAGTTTGTAATTAGTGAGTGGTAACATATTTTTATAAAACCGAATAGATTTCTTTAAGAGAAGGGGGTTGGGACATGATAACAAAATGAAACTAAGAGAAAGGTGTGAAATGAAAGATAATGCTTGATTTCCCCTTCCTATTCCTTTATCTGTCCCATCAGCCCCCCTCTCATTTTTTCATTATGTGTTTGAATTATTTTTAACATAGTAACCACAAAATTTAGCTCACTACACCTGTATACCATTTCTTTTTCATTTAAATTTTGATGTCATGTCATAGTGATTTTTGAAGAAAAAAATCATATCAAAATCTGCGTCTTATTTTGTTTTAATGAACAGTTGATGAAGATGATGAGGATGGTGTTAAAGCATGATAATTGTAAAAATGAAGAGAATGATTATCAGGCAGGTATTTGACAGAAATAACAAAAGTAATAACAACTGAACTTTTTAATCCGATTTAATACTTCCTTTAGAAAAAGAGATCCTACACTATTTTAAAAAATGATCCTAGCAACAGTAATTGTTAATCTTATACAAAGAAATTATTTATGAAGTAGCTCTATTTTGTGAAGAACACACAGGAAAATAGCGTCAGCGTTAAAAACTAACGGCAAGCAGTACATTCTAAATTGATATGATCTGACGATAACTTGATTTCTCTGTTTATTCTGTCGGTATAACAGAAGAGAACTATCCAACAATGACTGATCATTGATTGTTGATTAATGTCATGTTTGTGTAGTTCTTTTAAGGTTGATCGAATCCCATTAATCAATTTGAAATTTGATCACTAATCTAAGTCACTCAGTATTGAATGAAGTATATTTTCATGTTAAGAAGGTTGGTGCATGGTTGGTAGGAAACTCTGGACTAAGGTTT